ATCTATCTATCTATCTATCTATCTATCTATCTATCTATCTATCTATCTATCTATCTATCTATCTATCTATCTATCTATCTATCTATCTATCTATCTATCTATCTATCTATATATATATATATATCTATATATATATATATATATATTTGGTTGATGCATGATTGAGTATCACAATTACTTTTACAGAGGGGCAACAGAGATGTGTCTGACATGAATCTTTTTTAAGTGACTCCAATTGTGCAGGCAGGTCTTTATAGTGGCCAAAATAAAGAGTTTCTCCCTGCTCCCTCTTTCTGGATCTATAAATCCCAAACATCTCTTCCCATTACGTGCTCGGTCAAAGCCGACAGAGTCACCGGTGCTCACATAAAAATAGGACTGTAGTGAATTTCAAGCCCCATTTTTTTTTGGAGCTTGATCAGAGCCGGTGAACTGCAACTCCCCCCCCCGAATGACGACAGCGATGATGCCCGGTCTCTGGCCAATCGGAGCAGGGATAAATTAGCACATGTTCCTCTGTCATCAGTGTTAAATGATGGTCAGGCCCCTTTGGAAGCTGCACAGTCATTGCTCTTTTAAACTATTCAGACTTAAAGCAAAAAAAAAAGACACTTTGCAATGTGGCTTTTTCCCTGCACGCATACGTGCGCATAGGTCACCTTCATAAGGACAAATTTACTGCAAATGTGAGTTTGCTCTTCTTGGGAACATTATTCATGCGCTATTAACTCCACGTCTCACAATAACAGCGTCACGCAATGTATTTGGGTCTCACAAACTGACCTTTATTCTTTTATCCACATTTCCCTCTGGTCCCTCTCTGATTTTCCCGTCCTTCCTCATCCTTATCTGGCTCTCCCCCCCCACCCACCCACTCTCTCTCAACCTCCATTATCCTCTCTCCCCTCCGATTTAACTCCCCCAATGTCATCTCCTTTGTAAAGCAGACGCTGCTGCCACAGAGTTAGCAGACCAGTGAAGGTCAGCAGACAGGAAGTACGCTGAACAGCCTCAGGTTTGTGTGGCACACAGTCACCGGCCCACCCCAGTTAACCCCACCAGCTCAGACCCCTGTGTATGGGAGGTTTCAAAGCACACCAAGAATTCATTTATACAACGAACCAATTTCAAAATGAGCTATTTGGAGGTATTTAAGAGTGCTCTCATCTGGTCTCACTCCCACATGATCTGTCAGACAGATTAAATAACCCAAAACAGTGACAGGAAAAGTATTGCTTTCGCACCTCTGCTTATAAAAATCACATTTCATGGCTTTGATTATGCTCTGTGATCACTTATTGAGGCCACAGGTACAGCAAGTGACGGTTAAACTAATCTTTCAGTGTGACGGCCTTTCATTGTTACTCATATGTAGTTTCCTGAGAATTTCTTTTCCATATTAGGCCAGTTATTTATTAAGGAGAGAGTCTTACTGAGGAAGTAGTTCTGTCCCAGGGGCAGCAAGTGGTCGGGGACCACGAGGCCATCGGAGGCCTGCAGGAACCACATCGTGGTGCCGTTCAGTATGGAGGAGCGCAGGAAACCGTCCTCACTCACACGCCACAGCACCGGAGCTCCGTTAGCATTCACAAGCACCCTGGACGGAGGAGAGAGACAGATGTAGAAAAGAGGAGGGAGAAAGAGGAGGGTTTTTTTTTACTGGAAATACAAGTTTGTGCTCCACTTTTAACTGGACTCTCTCTTTCAAGTTGCTTTTTCAGCTGGTTCTGCAGATTTCCAATTTTCTAAATGTAGATAACAAATTATGGTGACAAAAATGTACTGACTGCCCATGATTCTGTACAATCAATCAAAACCTCATCAAACTTACCTCGTATACCGCAATACAGTCTAAATCCAACCGATCAACATTTGACCCCTTTTTGACTAAACGGTCCATGACCTAAAAACGTTAAACACCTGACATGGGGGGGACTTGATTAACCTGTTTCTATAAGGTTTCCTGGATGTAAAGGTTAGAATAAACAAAACATGCAACTAAAAACATTGTAAAAATGAATCATAAAAGCTTTCCAGGAGAACCCTATAACATTATTTGCTCCCCCTGGAACTGAAAACACAAAATGTGTGTTTCTTTTGGCACCAACTCTGAGGCTGTGAGAAGTTAGCCTGACATCTGCTTGGTAAATATAGTCAATGCTTCTGAGCGAAGCTTCTGAATAGAGACGTTGACTAAAAGGCACCTGTTTCTGTGATTACAGGCTAAATTTATTAGACATCTCTGAGCCCAGGGCCATCGATAAATCAGAGTTCAGATTTATTCCCAAGGACAGCGCAATTCGAAGGCCAGCGGAGCCGGACGTCACACGGTGGACTCACCTCTAACAACCACTTACTGAAGAGGCGGGAAAAAACAAACCACGCCATATGACCTAAATCAACTTCTTAAATATTCAGGTAGACACAGACACAACTGAGTTTGGTTGTAAACTGGAAGGTAAATAGCCTCATGGAAGATTCTGTGGATTATTATTTGACCGAGAGCCCCACTAACCTGACTCCCACATCTGAATGAATCATTCCCACATGAACCAAACTAATACAACAATCTGTGATTATCCTCTCAACCTCTGATGTTGTACATTTGGTGTAATGAGGGCTAACAACTTTCGAGAGCAGTGGTTTTCATTACCGTCTACAGCGGCTTTCCAACCACAGCTGAAAGTGCTCTGAAATGGAGAGTCACTGACATCAGAGGGTGGCACACAAATGCGCTGGCAGCTTTATTTGAGTTTCAAAAGTCTGTCCTGATGCATAAGAGGCAAGAGAAACTGTCAGGCTGCCAGGGGCAGTTCAGTTCAGGATACGGAGGGCATGTTGGAGCATTGCAGGCGGAACACGAATGGCTCTCCCGAAGCTCCCGAAGATGGAGCTGAGCCTGAACGTTAAGCCGTGTGGCTGAAATGATCGGACACCGGACTGGACTGGACTACTTCCTGCATGAATGAGTTTTCTTCTTTTTTTTTGTTACTTTTCTTTTGTTTTGGCGGATGTCTCAGATGAGATATTTGGGGAAGGACTGCTGCTTGAAGTTTAAAAGAGCCGTGCTATAATCGTGTGACACATATATAGCTCAGTATTTTTTATTTTATGTATGTAGGGCATTTGGGAGGCTTTCTTTATTAACTAAGCTTATAGTTTCAAAGCAATTACCTTAGAAAGGTTGGATTATCCTCAGTGACAATAATCGCCACTGTGTACACACACACACACACACACACACACGGAGTATGTGCATGGCAGCTGATCTCTGTCAGTCACCCTCTCCTGCCAGAGTGAGTTCTCAAGATTCATTACATGGCGATAAGCATTTGGAAATTGGTGTCACTCTCGGGAGTGCTGCTTCATTTTCCGAGTGCTGCTGTACACACGATTCAACGAGCCCCTTCCACGTTCTGAATGTGGGGTGCTTTCAGGTGTTGTGTGTAATTATACGGAATGAAAACAAAGCAGCAGATGCTGATTAACTCTCAGCTCGTGGCTTGCTGTCTGCGATCGTGACTAGGGCATAATGAGAAGTAACATCAAGGACACCCGGCATCAACCTTGACAATTACCACTGCATTATTCATTGACCCTCGTTTAAAGGGCAAGTGACTGTTTTCTTTCTCATATGTTCTCAAGATTACATTAAATGTGAGAAGCTTCAAATAAATCAAATATGCTTATTTGTGCTAAAATGAGCCACAATATGAACACTCTCTTCGTGTTCTCTGCAAATCAATAATAATAATTATGCAGACTTCCTCACTTTGTTGGTTCTTAAGATAATTAGAATAAAGGGGGTTATTTTGGTTAGGACCAATAATTTGGGGTTAGCCAGTCTTCAGATGGTCGAGTTTTACTGTTCAGCAGTTAGTATGTGGCAGGTTGCCAATCACAAATTGCTGAAACAAAATGTATGCACTGTTAACATGACCTAAACATCGCAAACAAACAACTACAACCCCCACATAGCAATTCCATGGCACAGAATGGACTTCTGTCATTATTTGATCATTTGGACCGTCTTGTCCGTTAAAAAGAATCCTGCATTGAGGGAACAGCGGCGTCTTACTTTACGGCCGTCTCTTCAGGCACCTCCAGAGATAGAGTCAGAGTGCCGGACGTCAGTTCACAGAGTTCAGGGCTGACACAGTGGAGACCCTCGGTCACCTGAAACACACACATCAGCTCTTTAAGTTCACTCACACGCTCGCTTAGCGTTCAGATTCAGGGATGAAGTTCTCTCACTCTGTCTGCCTCCCACGGCACGACCAGGATCCTCTGCCCGGGTTTGGGTTGCCATGGCTGCAGGGTGGGAGCGGCCGGCGTGGTTGTGGAGGGGGCCGTGGTCGGCTGCTGCGGCTGAGTGGCCGCCAGGGTGGTGGAGGCCACGGGGGTGGCCAGTTCGGGCGCGGAGGGGGTGGCGGGGTCCCAGTCTGCGGGGGGCAGCTCCAGTAAGATCTGATCGCACCTCTCTCCCTCGTAACCCTCCGTGCACTCGCAGGTGTAGGAGGGCTCCCCCTCCTCCCCGCCGTCGCTCCGGCTGCAGTTTCCATGGAGACAGGGGCTGCTGGCACAGGGGTCTGTGAAAAACTGACATAAAGAAGAAAAATAAAAATAAGAAAAGGGCATGACAGTGAAAACAACGGAGCCAAACAGGGAAACAGAGGGAAAATATACTCGTCATCGCGTCTTCATCCGCTGGCTTCAGCTCTGATTTAGCTCTCACTTTAGCTAGTGAACCCCACAGAATGTGACGGGGCATTCAGATCTAGTGAAGGCCACATGGCGTTTGTGTAAACTTGAGACCGAGAGCTAAAAGGAATTCAGGTAATTTAGTGTAACGTTTTTTAAACCCTTCGACGCACAAGGACAAAGGAGTTTAAAAGATGTACTGATCATTCTTACTCACACTCAAGAGCAGTTTGAAATTAAAGCCCCACTCATTTACATGAATATATATTGTGCATCAATATACAATTATTTTCCAGTCTCCATAGACGGGACAAGACACACAAAAAATCATATTTTTCTGAGATTTTCTGAAGTGCTGTTGACTCTGTGTTTACTCCAAATCACCTCTCACAGCATGAGTGTACCTGCATCTTCAAGCACATGTATATATACCTGCGTTTGGTCCCTAAATCAAATTTCTCCTACCGTGCAGCTTTGACAAAAATGCACCCTGACAGCCTCCTTCACGCTGGTTTCCCCCATCAATAATTGATCATATTTGGAGAAAACATTCTGGTTTGCATGCTGAAGGTGACGCAGGACAAAGTTAAGCTCACAAAGCCTCCTGTTTGACACACTGTCTCAATGTCTTTTGCTTGGCTAACTGAACAGTTTTTGGTGTAAAAACTTCTTTAATCTGGCCATCTCTCACAGCCTGGACGAGCTAAAACAGCCTCAGGTACCTGGAGCCCAGCTTTCTACATGAAATGGGTTTAGATACAGCTTTAACAAAGGCAGAAGAGAGGCAAAAGCACAGAAAAGCTGAATGGTGACATGATAATGAATCCCCCTGCGCGTAGAAGATGCAAGCAAACCAGTGAGAAGCAGATCAGCGGAGGGTCATTAACAGTCCGCTCTCTTAGCAGCCAAGTCACAGCTCATTAGTGCTAATCTCTCTCTGAAGTTTCTACTCTCCGTACTTCTGTCGAACTTTCCATGTTCTGACTCTCGGCAGTCCCAGCAGGCCCCCCTCCGGTCCTGATGATGCTCTTATCTCCTCACACAGAAGCGGGAACTGAATTCAACAACCTCCGGTGAACGTCGGCGTTGCTGTGTCCAGCCTACAGGAGTATTTGGAGTCCAATTCCCAGCCTTTTTCTACAAGTCACTCCTGATTTTGTCCCAGACCAGACAGAGTATGCTCTCAGGATGAAGCACACGGGGCAATAAGGCTTAAAATGGAGGCAAAACGTGTAACAGAAAAAATGTTAGACATTAAGAAAGCTGATTGATTGTAACCTCCACTGCCTCCAGAATTGCAATTCTCATCTTTTCTGATTTAAAATATAGTAATGAATATTCAGCTCTGTGCTATACCTTTTTTATGGATGTCCTCGCATATTTTTCTATTTAGACCCTTTAATTCTAGAGCCGTGTTGGTAAGATAAGAGCTTCATACTGCACAGAGTATGTCCCACTTGTGATGCTATTCATCTCTATCAGTATCCACGCTTTCAGGCCATCTTCCCGCATCATCGTGTTTGTTGTTCACTCCCACTAAACAGCTCATAAGCCGTGGGCTCTGACCAAAGCACGGCAATCAATTTCTTCCAAGCAGTTGGTAATAACCACTTTATCAACATCCGCACCAGGAAACAGAACAAAGAGATCCTCCAAGGCTAAATTAATTGCTTTGGAAAGTATAATGGTGTGTTTAGTTGCTAATCTGAGCTGGTTGACCCTGAAAGGCGGAGAGATCGATACAGGCAAAGAAGGGAAACAACGGCAGTTGCTTCTGCATCACCGGTATCATCAGTCTGTCCGGTAGTAGAGGTTCAGGAAGGAGCTAGTTCTTCAGAGACATCTGGAAAACACACAGACTCTTTCAAACATGGTAACATTTTTTATGAGGCTCTGCTCACTGTCTTATAGTGATAATTAGAAAATTATGAAACTGTGAAAAGAAGGGAGACGGGTGATGCTGGGGGTGGGGGTGGGGTTGGGGGCCTGGGGGGTGTAAGTTCACCTCTGGCTCTGCGTTTTTCTTCAGTGTCAGTGTTCCTGTGTTTTATTTGAAATTTAAAAAAATCTCTGCCTATCCCAGCTTATGCCCCACAAAAAAGAAGGGCTGCATTCAGTCTTTATGGACAACTCCCCATCATCTTTTCATCTTGGATGCTTCAAAATCAAACCATAAACCTCATGAGTAACACTTTCCTACTTTTAACAGGAACCCTTTTTCCACAGGGTTCACTGAGACGTTTCTTAGCATGCTGGTGGAAATAGAATATGGGCTTCATTCGAACAGATTGTGTCTCCTGACACAAAGAAAATAGCTGGTTTAATAACTGTAACGACCCATCTGCAGCCACTTTGAATGATTCTACAAGCAGCAGTCTGATAAACCTGAAAACTTTTTAAGACATAAAGTCTTGTTTGTGCTCAGGCCACAGGGCAGAGTGTAATCCTTCAAGTAAAGCCGAGGATTATAAATGAGAATTTCCCAAAAAGTCTTGGACAGAGCTGAATCCCTTATAATGGCAAGTAATTTCATTGTCGCTGTAAGCAGCGTCAATGTGTCGGACGAATAAAGATTGCAGGAGGTAGAGCATGTAATCTGTTACCTGATTTATCTATATTTTATGGAGGTGAGAACAGCCTGCTGTGCTTTCTGGGAGGCAGAGAGGGGAGATTATAACTAATCCCTTTAATGGGATGAATATGTGGGACATGTTAGTTATCAGTCACATTCTAGCATGTGGCCCAGCAATAACCCCAACCCCTGCCATTTTGGGGGAGTTTACTGTGTCCAGGAAAATAATTTAAACATAACGATGGTTCAAATGCATATTCACTTTGTGACCGCAAACAGAACTAGTTTTAGAGGGAAACCTGGGAATCTTCCTAGGAAACATTTACACATTTCACAGGATGTGGCCTTCAGCTTTAGTTCAGTAAAGAAGTACAGACATCATCAAATGCTAATTGCATAAAGAAAAGCCTTCAGATTTTGTTGATACGCAGTGTCGTAAGCTTCAAGCAACAGATTGCAATGAGTAATTTGAAAATCATATAATGTTAGATAGTGTCTATTCAACTGCAGCAGAGGTGTTTAGGTATAACTGGAGGGTCATAATAATCTAATATCCTAACCATAACCATTTGTTCCTTTCTGAAAATCAATAAAGGGCATTCCACATGGGAAACATCACAAACGGGCAGGGTACGCATGCAGCTTAAGATTCTTCACATGGTTTAATAAAGCCTCTCAGAGTATCGTTGATATTCCTCTGCCAAGCATCTGTGCTGCCAGCGCATTAACGTGCATGCTGCGGAGAACAAAAGACACCAGAAGACAACGCTGCTACAGCATGTTCACCCTGCCGCAGTCTGCAAGGGATTCACACGTTTTTGCTGCAGTGCCACCAGACTTCAGAGCAGTGTTTCGTCCTTCACACTCCTCTATAATAACACAAAAGCTCTTTCTGACTTAATCTTTAAGGCGTGCCTTCTGTTTTTCTGTAGTCGTGGAACAAAGGGATTGCGTCTGTAGTTACACTGTAACATCATCAGTTTGCAGAATGCTCGATACCAAGCTGTGTTTAGTTAGTAACGTGTGTGGTTTTTCCCTTTTTTAATTCAGGAATCTGAGAACTTCATTCTACACACTTTCCAAACATGCGCATGTTCATCAGTTTCCAATCCGGCCGTTTGCTATTTGACTGTGACTCACTGGAGTGGTCAGTGATGATGCAGCAGGGATCCCCTTAATGGTCAGTTCATTCAGCAAACTGCACACGAGAGCTCAACTGAAAAATGCACACAAAGACATAATTCAGCAATATCGTACACTGAGGTAAGGGGGTCTCTGGCTTCAATTTGGCCAACATAATGACCTGGAAAATGGGTCAGTTGACTTGATGAACGGGACATCCTGGAAATCAGTTAAACCACGAGGCTGGGGTGAGGCGCCTCTTTGTTTTAGGGGAATTTGGAAGCTTTATGGGACAAAGAGGTGAACAAGCTGCAGAACAAACTTGTTCAGGATTCAGATTCATGTTTTTTTTCAAAGACCACTTGAAAAATCTGAAGTGAAAACTATAAAAAGCAGCAACACATTTTTTTGCAGTTTCATAACACATTGAGAAAATGTGCTTTTATCTCTAAAAGAGGTAGAAGGTTGATAATCATTTAGGGCCTCTTTAAAGCAAAAGGAAAATTTGTCATAGGTTTTAAAATCTGAGTACTTAAGACATGTTTTCAATGAGATCAAGTCATGTTATATGTCGCGCTTCGCCTAAAATTAGTTGGCATCCCTGTACTACTGGCACCATTCAGAAGTGATCGGAGTGGGAAGAAGGGTGCGATGTTATACAAAGAAGCAGCCTTTTTACCTTTTCCTCTGCAGCACAAAACAACTGACAAAAAAGCTCAATCTTAAAGCTTTTGTGTTCGTCACAAGGAATTGATGGTCAATGTTATCATCATTCATAATGGCCTGAAATCGTTTAACAGCTCCCTGCTAGACAATCAAGATGTGTTTCCATAGCTACAGTAGCCAGGGCAACGTGGGCGCAATTAGCACAGACACAACACCATTTACAGTACTGTGAACGCGTGTGTTTTCAACCTGCTCCCTGCGTGGGGACGGTCTCAATATTTGCGCACAGCGTCCGATCCATGCGGCAGAGATATGATCCATCCTTTAATCCACTTACTCCATCATCCGGGCGGTTTATCACAGTTTTACCTCCACCAGTCAGAGTGACAGTAATCCCCCTTCTGTGGAGGGAGACTAGATACAGGCAGCAATGTGAAGAAACAGAGATCTGATCTCTGAGGGTAAAGAAGTTGTTCCCCCTGCAGTCTGAATTAAAGAAATCTCAGCAAAAAATTAAAAAAAACGTAACACTACAAGATTCTTGAGCTTCATGATTTACTAATGAGAGATGTAGTTGAAAAATAGATGAGCCTGGTTCACATCC